TATCGCTATATCTCGCTATATCTATCGCTATATCTCTCGCTATATCTATCGCTATATCTCGCTATATATCTCGCTATATCTATCGCTATATCTGTCGCTATATCTGTCGCTATATCTGTCGCTATATCTGTCGCTATATCTGTCGCTATATCTATCGCTATATCTATCGCTATATCTATCGCTATATCTATCGCTATATCTATCGCTATATCTATCCCTGTATCTCTCGCTATATCTATCCCTGTATCTATCGCTATATCTGTCGCTATATCTGTCGCTATATCTCTCGCTTTATCTCTTCCTATATCTCCTCGCTATACCTATCGCTTATTATCTTCGCTATATTCTGTCGCCTTATTATCTATGCTATATCCTGGTCCCCGTATATCTATCGCCTATATCTATCCTATATCTATCGTATATCTCGCTATATCTTCTCGCTATATCTATCCGCTTCATTATCGCTATATCTCTCGCTTATATTTCGCGTATATCTCATTCGCCTATTTATCATCGTATATCTATCGCTATATTACATATCGCCCCCACTACATCTCTCGCTCATCCACTAATCGTATATCTATTCGCTCATATTGTCGCCTATACTTCCGCCCTGTGCTATATCTCTGTCGCCTATATCTGTCGCTATCGTAATCACTCGCCTTGGATTTATAATATGATGAATCGATGCAATATCTGTTTACGATTTCACAAGTTTTCACTACGAATATTATTTTTACCCTGAATCTATTATAGTAAGCCATATCGGAAAAGTCCCCGCCGCAATATTGAGATAGTATAAGAGGGCGGTAATAAACAGCCCTTTTTATTAACATGGGTTAGGATTAGGACTATTCATAGGTTTTTATCTATATTCTCTTCACTACATCGCTACTTCATTTCACAGGTGCGTTTCTGTTTACATAAACATTTTACAAATATGATTGTGGTCGTTTGAGATATTTTGCAATTGTCTGTGTAAATGCAAAACTGAAAAACGCACGAGTGTTTTACATTAAGTCTTGTAACTTTCCCTACGGGCTCCGGACCGTTTTATTACCCCTTTTCTGATGACCTCTTATAGCCACAGCTGGACTTTCCGATCTCACTTATTGATTTCTTCGTTTTCCGCTTCCCCATTTCATTTACGTTTACCTTCTCCGGTCGTTCGCTTATCGTTTTTTGTACGATCATGTTTGGTGTTCCGCGTTACCAGTAGAGTTCCTTGTATGATGTCATTAGAGGTCCTATTACGTGTCTGCTTTGCTGCTGCTGGCCTGGCTGCTCGGCTGCTGCTCATGCTGCTGCGGACTGCTGCATGCTGCTGCTGGCTGCTTGGCTGCTGCTGCTGCTTGCGGCTGCCTGCTGCTGTGCTGCTGCTGGCTGCTGCTGCCTGCTGCTGCTGTACTGCCTCCTGGCGGCTGCTGCTGCCTGCGCGCTGCTGCTGTGTGGTAAGCATGTCTGCTGGGAGATGACGGCATGCATCAATCTGTAGACACGAGGTGAGAGCCCGTCTGTCAGCGAGGGAAGCATCGTTCTATTCCTCATGAGCAGACCGAGCCGAGTGTGACGAAAAACTCGGAGCGGCTATGCTCTGTGAAATTCTACGCACATCTTTAATAGATCGAGAATACCGCGGCTCAATTGAATCGTTCGTATCGAAACAGTTACAAGTCCGGTAGCTCGTTCATAAAAACGGCTAATTGACAGCCGGTCTATGCGCGCACGCACGCAGTACGCACGCACGCACGCCGCACATACAGGCTGTTATCGAACGCGCACACACACGCGCACACGCGCACAACGCACACGGCACACGCACACACACACACACTCGCTCTCTCTCTCTACTCTCTCTTCTTTGCTACTCTCTCTCCCTCTCTCTTCTCTACTCTTTCTCCTCTCTCTCTGTGCATCATTCGGATCTGCTTCCATGTCATACCTCTCTCTCTCTAATCTCGCTCCGCAGCAACCTCTCTGACTCCGGTGTTTCATTTTTTAATCGGCATTAATTATACCATGGGTAACTGCGCGCACACAGTCGCACAGCCTGGCACGTGAGGCGTTAGATCATGAGCTATTAGAGCGCGCGGAGGAAACCTAGCCGCGCCCCGCCTTTAAGGCCCTACGGCTACTGCCTTCTGCTCTTTCCGACTCTCGCTTCCTCGTCGGAATAACTCCCTATAAAAATACCGACAAATCTTACGGATCCGTGCAAAAACACGGGGCGTCCCACGGAGCAGGCAATCAATTAGCCTATAGTAATTAGAAGCAGACGCGAAGCTGCGGGCCAGATGTGTAAGCTCGGTACCATGGCAACCGACTTCTCTCTCACACACGCGACGGTGGCCCAGCGCCCCGCCGAAGCCGGTGCGTCCGCGGAATTTTTATCCGCAAATAAACGCCGGCAACTGCTCGGCCCTCGCGGGCAGATAGAAAACGACTCCGAGCGCGGCCGACCCGAGTCGGCACAGAACCGGATCACTGTGACGCGATTCCCGATCCCCGGGCAGCTAGTTCGGTGCGTCTGTCTGCGGGCCTGTAGCAATTACCGACGATCGCGGGCGGCTCCGCAGCTGCGCAACGACATTGTGCTGCTCACGCACGCACGCACGCACGCACGCACGCATGTATAAACGTACTTATACACGCACGCACGCATGTATAAACGTACTTATACACGCACGCACGCATGTATAAACGTACTTATACACGCACGCACGCATGTATAAACGGTTACTTAGTACAGCACGCACGCATGTTATTAAATTACGTACTTATACACGCACGCAGCTTGTATAAACGTTACTTATTTACACGCACGTGCATGCATGTATAAACGTACTTAATTACTACGACCACGCCAACGGCAGTGTATAATATAAAACGTTAATTATACACGCTACGCACTGACATGTAGTACAGCTGTCACTTTTATACACGGCACGCATGCATGTATTAACGTTACTTATTACACTGCACGCACGCATGCTATAAAACGTACTTATATGCTTTGAAATCATACAAACGAAAATGTTATTAGCTTAGGGGTCGGATGCGGTTTGTGAAAATTGTATAAGTATCATCACACTTCTGAATGGAAAAGATGCTCTGTTATCTAGTCTCTTACGTTTTTGAATTCCATTAAAAGATTTCGTGTGATGTTCACTTTCTTTGCGATTGTTTCCGAAAAACTGCCACCATCTTTCCCTACGCGCAGATAATTAAAATCATTATATATAATAAATAAATAAATATATAATATAGTATATATATATGGTGGTGTGTGCGCAGTGCTGTGGCGTGGTGAGTGGTCGTGTGTGTGTGTGTTGTGTGTGTGTGTGTGCTGTGTGCTGTGATGTGTGTTGCGTGCGTGGTTGTGTGCTTGTGTGTCGTGTGGGTGTGTGTGTGTTGTGTGTGTGTGTGTGTGTATATAAAGGTTATAATAAGATATAGGGGCAACGATAATACATGCTTCATTACTTCAGTGATGTTTTTATGGGACATGCGTGCGCATTCTAACAACTTTAACGACACCATTCACACATATCCCTTTATCTTTTCCCCTTTCTTTTTCCATCTCCCCTATCTCTCTGACCCTCTCCTCCCCCTCTCTCTTTCTGCCTACTCTCTATATTCTCCTTTCTCCTCTCGCTCTATTTCTCACTCTCTTTCTTTCTCTTTCTCTTTCCCAGACTCTATTTCTGTCTCTGTCTTCTCTACCCCCTCTCTCTCTCTCTCTCTCTCTCTCTCTTCGTTGTCTCACTCCNTTACTTATTATAACATGTATACGAAGATTCTGTCCTACTATATCTATATTTCCCATCACCTAATAATTCATATCCTTCCATTCATTTACTATCCGTACACAGTAGCATAATATACGAGATTTATAGACGGTGGATTTCTATTAGCTGGTCGTAGTTCATCATTAGAGTCTGCATTCTCTAGTCACTTAATATAACACCAGGCGTTGCACACGCGCAATATTGTGTCTTAATTGCGCGAATTCATTTCGCTTGACAGGAAACTATAAAAAACCTAACGAACTAAAATAACTCAATTAAAATTTGACACCAACATCGCAGTATACCGGCAGCAGTGGGATTGGCTGCTAGAATCATTGGGGGGGGGGTAGCCATCCATCCTTCCCTGTTGTTTTCGGAATATTATACTGCACGGACTCGTCCCAAGCGCAGCTCTGAGATTGGAAACTCGGGTTGGTGTGTAGACTTAAATGTATTGATGTACGTGTCGGGTTAATGATAGTTGGTAGGAGCACGAATAATGCTAGGTTTATGTAGAGAGAGTGCGGGCAGGTTTACAACTGAAGCGCTACTATAAGGTATTGCGATAGTTGGCAAGTTTACGGGTAACGCAGTATTGAGGTATAGCGATTGCGGGTGTGGTTACATGTAAAGTGATATTATTGTATAGCGATTGCAGGTGTGGTTACATGTAAAGAGATATTAGGGTATATATAGTGAGATGTGGTTACATGTAATAATTGCGGACATGTTTACCGGTAAAACAGTGTTCAGCTATTGTGATAGCTGGCAAACGCACGGATGAAGCAGTATTGGGGTATTTAGGGATATATAGTGATTGCGCGCATGCTTACATGTAAAGAGATATTAAGGTATAGCGATTGGAGGCATGTTGACGAGGTTCGGCGGTACTGACAGGTGTACATGATTGATGTTCAGGATTACGGGAGACGGCGTTTCTGTACGGCGTGACGAGCGCTGGAGTCGTGCATGCAGTCACGCAGTCCTGCTCGGCTGGCAACCTGACCGACTGCAGCTGCGACATGTCTCGCCAGGTAACGCCTCTATAACACACAACACACACACACACACACATCAACACCACACACATACACCAACAGCACACACCACACCACACAGCAGCCACCGCGCGCGGCGCGACCACACACACGATCACACCACACACACACACACACTCACACACAAACGACAACCAACACCACCACCACACCGCACAAACATATTACACACTACACCACTCAGCACACAAATTACCACACACAGCACACACTACACACACACCTACACTACATACATACACACACTCACACACACACACACACACACACAAACCCAATGACACAATCTACACACAATTACTACAGCGGTACATCAGCACACAACACAGCACCACCCACATCACAGCACCACACTCACCATAACACAACACACACACACACACCACATACACTAATCACACACACACTACACTATCGATAACAATACATTAACACACACACCACACACACATCATTACACACACTACAACACACATACATAATCACACACACACACACACACACCAAACATTATATATTACACACCACACAACACACACAATCTACTACACACACGACACACTCACACACACCACACACACGAAACATCAACATACTAATACACACATGCACACACACCACACGACACACATCACACACACACACAACACTACACACACACTATTCTCACTCTCTCGCTTTCTCTCTCGCTTCCTCTCTCACTTCCCCCCTCTCTCTCTCTTTCTCTCTTCTTCTCTCTCTCTCTCTCTCTTTTTTTCGCACCCTATGTTTCTCTCTGCCTCTTTCACCCTTTGTTCTCCCTCTTCCCCTTTCTCTCACACACCATCTCTCTCTCTCTGTGTACGCTGCAGGGACAGACAGACCCGGTCGAGGGATGGAAGTGGGGCGGCTGCAGTGACAATGTCAACTACGGTCTCGACTTCAGCCGCAAGTTCGTCGACGCGCCGGACAAGATCAAACACAAGAAGCTGCGTGACGTACGCAACCTGATGAACCTACAGAATAACGAAGCCGGCCGCCGGGTGAGCCCGCGCAACCGCTTTATAAATAAATAAATAAAATATAAATAAATAAATAAGTAAATAAATAAATTAATAAATGTATATATTTATTTATTTATTTATTTATTTATTTATACTGCAAACTGGATGCATGCGTGCCGCCATATTGTCGCCAAATTCTTTCTACACTAGCGGCCCGACTGCAACCGCGGGAATTACCTCACGAGGCCTTTTTAAAATAAATAAATAATTAATTAAATATACAGATAAATAAATAAGTGAATAAAATAAAATATAATAGCGTTTGCGTATGTTGTGTATTAGGCCATACAAAGCCTCGTGGAGACGCAGTGTCGTTGCCATGGCGTCTCGGGGAGCTGCCAGATGAAGACTTGCTGGAAGACGATCCCGACATTCAAGCGAGTCGGGGAGAAGCTGAAGGAGTTGTACGAGCATTCGATCCACGTCGCCCCGCGCGCACGCAGGAAGCTTAGGAGGAAGGGCAGGGCGCTGAGAAAGGTGACAGCTGCTACTAAAACCCGAAGCAGTCATCCATTGGCATTTCAAACCCGCGATTTATCTATTGTTTTTATAAAGTAGATGCTCATTAGATGCGGAAAGTTCGACGTCCGAAACACTATAATGCGTCGCTTCTTAGATTACTACCATGTTTATATACGTTCATGTGCCGTGTGTAGTGTGGTTGCTTGTAGCAGGGAACATTCTAGAATTCCTGCATGGCTACGTTCATGTGCCGTGTGTAGTGCGGTTGCTGCTTGTAGCAGGGAACATTCTAGAATTCCTGCATGGCTACGTACATGGTAACACATCATCATGACCTTACCGTCGTAGGAGGACCCCTGATATGATGGCTTGAAATAGGTGATGTTATCTAGTATCTTTTCTGCGTAGGTGGCGATTCCTAAAGAGTACATGGTATACACGTCCAAGTCGCCCAACTACTGCGTTGTCGACCTCGATAAAGGCATTCTGGGAACGAGCGGCAGAGTATGCAATAAAACAAGTACTGGTGAGTATGGCCGACGCGTGCGGCAGGGGCGGGGGGCAAAACAAATTTTCCCACTTGAGTTCCGGACCACAGCCAATCAGCGCACTCCATTCACTCGACTTCCTCGAAGCAACAATGTAAAATGAATACTTCCTATCCCTAACCCTAACCCTAACCCTAACACTTACCCTAACACGTAACCGAACCCTAACACTGACTATAATCCAACCATATATATAAGAACCATTTATTATAAAACACTATCTATGGTGGGTCCGGAACTCGAGTGGGAAAAAAAATTTCGCGGGGGGGGGGGGGAGGATTATGCCTATATGCGTTAGTATATCAGGCTGTATTATAGATACAATAACGTCATCCAACAAGAGTAGAGGTACATCTACCCCTTATTCTTGTTATACTATTTATACTACTCTGTTATACTAGTTCTGTACTACCTTATTGTATCTAGTTGTATTCGTGCGATGCGAAATGGAGATTGTATCGTTAGTTACGAGCGCGTCTGTCGTTATGACGTCACTCAATGCAGTGTTAATAGTTGTATCGTTTGTTTTGCCGAGAATGAACATATTTATATTATTTGCTTGTTGGGTTGGTGTTGTTATGTTATTATATATGTTATCGGTTTATAATATTAATTGCAGGCACGCACGCACGCACGCAAGCGTTTGTGTGTGTGTTTTGCGTTCGCCGTGCATTCAGGCGTGCGTGCGTGCGCGCGTGATTGCGGGCGTGCGTGCGTGATTGCGTTCGTTCGTGCGTGCGTTCGTGCGTGCGTGTGTGCGTGTGTGCGCGCGTGCGCGCATTTATGCGTGCGTGCGTGCGTGAGTACGTGCGTGCATTTATGAGTACGTGCGTGTGTGCGTGCGTGTGTGCGCGTGCGTGCGTGCGTGATTGCGTGTATGCGTGCTTGCGTGCGTGAGTACGTGCGTGCATTCATGAGTGCGTGCATGCGTGCGTGCGTGTGCGTGCGCGCGTGTGTATTGTATGACTGCTGGTCTGTTGTTTATTAATCTTATTCTCTCGTCTGTTATTGACGCTATTTGGCGGGTGTGTCTCTGCTTGACTAGGTTCCGACTCGTGCGACCTGCTGTGCTGCGGCCGCGGATACAACACTCAGATCGTGCGCCACGTCGAACGCTGCAACTGCAAGTTCATCTACTGCTGCTACGTCAAGTGTCGCACCTGCGAAACCATGGTCGACGTACACACGTGCAAGTAGAAGCAGCAGCGCCACCTCATGGCGGCGGCGGCGGCCGTCGGCGCCATCTAGCGGCAGCGGGACGATACGCAGACGAATGTTTACGTCGTGAGGGCGCTGCGGACGGAACAACGGCGGAAGTTGTCATACTAGTGCCTTATAACCCGAGATATCATCGTGTGAGTTTGAGAACTTATGCGCGCGTGCGAGTAATCTTGCTTAGATGATACAAGCACGCATATAGTTAGTCGATGGCAATCGTCGCATTCTTACTGACGAGTATACTAATCGTTACTCAGTAGTTCTACCCGTGTATAGCTCTGTACCCCACCTATACCCTGCCTAGCTGAGGGCGACGTAAGCACACATAGGTTTACATAGCGTAGTATGTCGCAGAGAATTACTATGGTTGTTACAGGGTAGATGGCAAGGTTGACGAGGGGGAGGGGAGGGGGGGGGGGAGGGAGTGCAGGCTGTCTCTGACGTTCGTAGCCCACGTTTAAAACATTCTAGATGCCTGTCACGAGGCTATATATATATATATATATATATATATATATATAGATGAATGTAATAGTCGGGAGGAGAAGACCGCGCCCCTTTATTTCGACAATGCTTTGTGCGAAACACCGACGACTAGCTCTCCGTATAATTAGTGTGGAATTACAGAGTAGGGAGAAGGTGAGCGCCAACGCGCGCGTGTGTGCGGGTACAGCGGTCACCACCTGTCCTCTATTATATCCAGAGCCTTGTTCGCGAGAGATACTTTGATACATTGAGAGCTGTGTGCACCGATTGGCTGTTTTACACATGTCTGCTTCTTACGGTTAGTTTATCATATCGCGAATATAATTACAATGTAGCGAATGGCTTCCACCTCGAACCTATATATATATATATAGGTTTGTAGTTCTATGCCTAGGTTTTAGCGTGCGTGGGCATTATGTAATAGAATGGTCGCGCTCACTCACGCCTGCATGTTTTATTTATGACGTTTGATGAGTTTTCTTCAGTTTTGCGTTGGATTTAAGCGGCACGTTTCGTCGTGCCTGCTTGCAGTCTATGCATAACGAAGGTTGCCAGTGAGAAAGTGAAGTGTACATATTGCGGTAAGATTGTGAATTCGTCAATGTTAAATAGAAGAACGATCTTGCAATTTATTTATCTCCTATATATAAGTATATACGTGTGTTCGCCGACCAAGCATGTGCTTGGGTCCTTTCATACGTACAATGTGTGCGCTATTATTTTATTATTATTGTTATTATTACTATTACGATTTAATAGGAGTAGACGAATAATAGAGCGTATATTCTAGCTCGTTATTCGATGGTCAATGCGAATAGGAGTAGCCACAGCGACGTCTATATGTGAAATACTCTCTACCTCACGCTATCTCTATGGCGCGTAGCTGTTCTGCGACAGTTCGAATACCGTCATTGTCACATACGCGTGGAATTACAGATGACACGCACGAAATCAGACGCGTTTGAAAACAAAAAGTGTACGATTCAGGACAATTTCGCCGAGAGATATACGGTTCAATAGAAATACTGTGTCAATAACTCGCGAGTTAGGAAATTACTATATCATATTAATTAATAAATGGATAATTCCGACCGGATTTAATAAGAATAAAATTATAGAACATGTTCGAGTGATAGCACAGAGCGCTGCAGTCGCCGTAACAGGACGTAGCATGCGATACGAAGGCCTGTCTCAATGGTTCAAACGCCCGAGTTAATTTTCCCACACATTTGTATGTAAATAATTTTGCGCGTAACAGACAAACTGGAAACACGCATTGACGTCACACATCTCGGCAGTGACGTCAGTAGTGGTCGGCGCCATTACAGCCGACACTAGTGTGTGCATGATAACCAGAGGGGAAATTAAAATTTGAGAGCGTGTTACGTTAAAAGACACGCGCATACTATCCAGCACTCCAGTCTCCTTCAACATTTGCATTGATACGCTAGTAATGCAAACGCGAATTATATACTAACTTACGTCTAGTATTTTACAATGACCCTAACGGCAATTACTACGGTGGCGCGATATCCTTACAGTTGGTACAATCCGCTGATAATGACACGTTTTGATAACGCGACCATTTTACGGTTTTATCGATTTGGGAAACTATGAGTTGATTAGTTTTTGTTCTGATCCGGAAGCATACAAATCGACACAATTCAATCCCATGATTGGTACGAGAGATTACGTAAATAATAAGCTATTGCAAGATTTTATGTTTAGTTGGTAAATCTTACACACGTGTATGAAGAATGTTAGTGTATCAACCTGCCAGGAATTTCGACTAATTTTGTCATTTCAAATTTCTTTACCATTTTATACGCCGCCTCTAATATCGTAATTACATTTCTTATCCGAAACCGTTTGAATAAATATTATCATGCCTTTAACTCTGTATTATTGGTGATATTGTTTATTGTTAGAAAGAGCACGTTTTCAGTCTGTTGGCCCCTCATGGTCGAGATTATCAACTATCAAAGCAATTTGAAAAATATAAAACACAATCTTTCAATGACACATATTTTTGTATTATTTATTTTCTATGAAATATTTACACAAAAATTGTAGCTATTTACAACAAAATAGTAGAACCTCAATATCCCATAATAAAAATATTCGCGAAAGAAATGTCTTGCCTAAAAATGTTACATGTAAAATGCAACTTTTTAGCGTATATTTTATTAACGCACCATTTACCAATCATAAATATGACGAAACTCATTCAAATTGATGTTGAAATCCGTAGCTTCTGCGATCACATCCGAGAGGGCGCCACTATGTCGAGTAACGTGAGCGATCAACATTCTCAGAGGGCGGCCACTATGTCGAGTAACGCGAGCGATCACATCTGAGAGGGCGCCACTATGTCGAGTAACGCGAGCGATCACATCTGAGAGGGCGCCACTATGTCGAGTAACGCGAGCGATCACATCTTGAGAGGGCGCCACTATGTCGAGTAACGTGAGCGGATCACATCTGAGAGGGCGCCACTATGTCGAGTAACGCGAGCGATCACATCTGATGAGGGGCGACTATGTCGAGTACACGCGAGCGATCACATCTGAGAGGGCGCACTATGTCGAGTAACGCGAGCGATCACATCTGAGAGGGCGCCACTTATGTCGAGTTAACGGCGAGGCGATCACATCTGAAGAGGGCGCCACTATGGTCGAGTAACGCGAGCGATCACATCTGAGAGGCGCCACTATGTCGAGTAACGCGAGCGATCACATCTCAGGAGGCGCCACTATGTCGAGTACGCCGAGCGATCACATCTGAGAGGGCGCCACTATGGTGAGGTAACGCTTGCAGCGATCACATGCTAGAGGGCGCGCACTATGTCGAGTAACGTGGCGATCAACCATCTGAGAGGAGCGCCACGGTATGTCCGAGTATACGCGATGCGCATTATCTCATCACCTGCTCAGCGCTGCCAGCAAGTACAGACGCGGCCGGGCCATCGTCGGCATCATATGCGTCTTTGGTTCCTGAGACAAGAGAACACGTACAGCACAATCGTGTTACATGACGAACCGCAGTCTCAGCAGGCTAGGGTTTCTCGCGAGACTCCCCGATGAAAAGAATGCAGATGAGGTTACATTTCGACCAAAAATCTCGTTGCCGAAACTAATGCGGGATTTTTTTTACGGACCGACGAACGTTCGATCGTTACATTGCGTGAACGGTCCCGGGCGGCCGATTACTCGCACTTACGCAGAAGAAACATGTTCATGGTGCATCTATGCATATCGTATACTACGAATTCATTAGTTTCCAACGAAATGCATATGAACTTGTTTCTTGCCATCGTCGTATATATTTTACCACGATGCACTGTGCACGCGGCTGTAAGTACACACTCAGTTCTCGAGATGCTTGGAAGGAATGATGCATATCTGCCAACGAAGGGACTAGATCAACCACAGCACACGCGTCAACCCCACGCGACGGACTCACGCCACCGCAAACCACGGTTTGCTCACGACTTGCCGCCGATGCACTCAGTGACATGGGAATTTTGGCAGCATTGTATGACACATTTCAAGCTTGTGTGCCACATACGATTATGCCTCAAGTGTTCGGTTCGATTAGTATTTTACATCGTCTACGCTGACCTGGACCCAGTTATATATGATGACAAGGATGTGAAGTAGAATGAAAGTGTCATATGACACTATGACTCACATTGGGTGTGATAGAGGGGAATGATATTTAAACTTTAGTTAAGTGTTTCATTTATGACGGACCAAATGCCGGCATTAAAATGTCCTTATTATCGTGTTTTATTTAATAGAAATTTCACTGTTTGTTTCAGGCGTTAGTTATGATGCTGAAGATAAATGTTTCAATCTGATAAGTCTGATCTGGGCGAGAGATGGCGCTACGCTAAATGATTCGCCATTTTGGTTTTCGTTATCGCGCCAAATTAAAAGCAATAAAATTATTCAGTCAAAATACTGTTAACGAAGAATCTAAAACACGAATAATATTACACGTAGGTATGATTCAGGTAGGCAGGTAGGTAGGTAAATTTAACAAAATCGAATGATCTAGATGGCATTTTCTTTTTGCAAAAGTGAGTTGTGGCTCGAAAGTTAGGCTCGACTGGCGTGCTAACAAAATTAAGGACTCTTCAAATCTCTTCACTTAGGAGTAAAACTGTATGCATTTTGAAGTCGAAAGGCTTCTAGTCGTATCGTTTGGACCGCTAGTCAAATGTTGAACGGAACAGACGGACGGGAGGTCGATCGGACGGACACCCATGGCCAATAGCCCTACATCTTGAGCGATGTCACATGCGAGCTAAAAAAATGTGGCTAGTTTCATGTGATGCTACAGTGTGCACGACACATAGAAAGATTAGTACGTCAAAAATGTGTATGATATATATGGCAACCTTATGTGTGTATATATTTGCGTGTGGAGAGTTGGCGTGGAATTCCCCAACGCAGTCTTTCACCAGGGTCGGGAACGGTAGTATGTAGTTAAACAGCAGTGACCACTCCTCCTGAAAACACAGAACACTGGTCAGCACGTGCTGCCACCTGGATCCAACATCCTCAAAATTCACTCAGTGTAATTCTTGGCCTTCCTCTAAAACGATTACAGTAGAACATGGATTCTCGCAGATACCGAAATAAGCACCCTAAAAGCATCCGTTATTGTTAACCGAACCATACCTCCTCCACCAGCAAGCTTGTATCTACATCCTCAAAATCTGGTAATGCTGGGTAGTAACCTGGGATAAAAATAAACCACACTGTACTTTACTTATCCTCACTTAGTGTCCGACACGTCTTAAAGAGTTTATTGCAAATTACTGCTCAGAAATGCTCAATCTCCTACAAATATATAGCGAAATATTGTCTCACCTCACAGCCGATATATTACTGATTACACCCATTTGAAAAACACTAAGAATTTATGCAGTTATAGCACAGAATGAATTTGAATACATCGTAACACCATGGCATATATGATTACGGCGCCAATAATTTTGCAAATGGCGCCTTAGTCAGAATGGGTGCACTTGTAACTTGTTGGTGCCCTAACTTAGTTACACGTGCTCCTATTCTGCAACTAATAATTTTGCAAATTCAAACAAAGGGGCATCTGATTCTGTGTAGTCAACTCCGTCCTCTGTGTCGTAAAAGTGGGGAAAACACAAGATCGTGACTGAAATAAATACTTTAAAAGCACAGGTTCACACAGTGTTAGCGCCACAGCACAAGATTACTGTATTACGGCACGAAAATACGTAAGATTCGCAGACCAAGCTAATGATCGCCGGACTCAAATCGTCATTTCGAAACAGATAAAGCTGCCGACCATTCGCATTAAGGACTACAAGAGTACTGTGTATACGCTGTATATTTCGCGGTGGTTTAATTTTCGCGAATTTCGCGAACGCGTCCCCGACCGCAAAAATAACAACACGCGAATAATTCATACCGAATAATACCGAATAATTCGTAATTCACCGACCGCGAAATTAACCGCTCGCGAAATTGTCCGTCGAGTCTGAATTCGCGAAAATATCTGTACGCGAAGAATATGGCGTATACAGCAGTACCTGCTTCGACGTCCTCCTCGTGGTGTTGGAACAGTGTGGAGAGGCGTGCGTAGTTGTAGAGCACAAACGCGCCGCCCTTACTGCCGATGAGCCCGCCAGTCTGCAGCAGATCCAACTTAACCTGCGTGCGAAAAATAGATAACACTAGACACTCGCTTGCTACACACGCGCCGCCATCGTCGGCATCAGATGCTCTCTTGGTTCCTGAAGACAAGAGAACAACGTACAGCACAATCGTGTTACATGACCACGCAGTCCTCAGCAGGCTAGGGTGTTCTCGCGAACTCCCCATGAAAAGAAAATGCAATGAGGTTACATTTTTCGACCAAAATCTCAGTGCGAACTAATTGCGTGATTTTTTTACGGCCGACGAAACGTTCGTCGTTCAACATTGCGTGAAAACGGCCCGGGCGCGCCCGATTACTCGCACTTACGCAGAAGAAACATGTTCATGGATGCATCATGCATCATCGGTATACTACGAATTCATAGTTTCCAACGAAATGCAATGAACTTAGTTCCTGCCTCATCGGTATATTTACCACGAGCACGTGCACTCGGCTGTAGTACACACTCAGTGTCCTCGAGAGGCTTGCAAGGAATGCACATATCTGCAACAGAAGGAACTAGAATCAACCACAGCACACGCGTCAACCCCACGCACGACTCACGCCACCGCAACACGGTTGCTCACCGACTTGCCGCATGCAACTGAGTGACATGGGAATTTTGGCACGCATTGTAATGACACTTTCAAGCCTGTGTGCACAATACGATTATGCCTCAAGAGTCCGATTCATATATTTTACATGTCTACGTTTGACCTGACCACAGTTATATAGATGACAAGGAGTGAAGTAAGAATGAAAGTGTCAATGACACTATAGCTCACCTTGGGTGTGATAGAAGAGGGAGATAATATTTAAAATTTAGTAAGTGTTTCATTTACAACGGACCAAAATGCGATCAAATGTCCTTATTTCCTGTTTTATACTAATAGAAATTTCACTGTTTTGTTTCAGGGTTAGTTTTGATGTGAAAATAAATGTTTCAAATCTGAAAGTCTGAAATCTGGGCGAGAGATGGCGCTACGCCTAAATGATCGCCATTTTGGTTTTCGATTATCGCGCAAATACAAGCAATAAAATATTCCAGTCAAAATACTGTAACGAAGAATCTAAAACACAATATTACACGTAGGTATGATTAGGTAGGCAGGTAGGTAGGTAAATTTAACAAAATCGAATGAATCTAGATGGCCATTTTCATTTTTGCCAAAAAGTGAGTGTGGCTCGAAAGTAGGTCGACTGGCGTGCTACAAAATAGGACGTTCAAATCTCTCACATAGGAGTAACAACTGTATGCAATTTGAAGTCAAAAGGTTCTCAAGTTATCGTTGACCGTAGCCAAATGTTGACGGACGGACGGACGGACGTACGACGGACGACACCCCATGGCAATAGCTCATCTTGACGATGTCAAGGTTAGCTAAAAATTACGTTATATACACGCATGCAAACACAGTTATAATATGTATCACAACGTATATATACAACAGATATCAATGATCTGAGCTACAGTTACATATATTCAAATATTAACGGATATCAAATATCATATTTTACAACTATTGATATTATCAAGAGTGCATAATAGAGAAGAGTATGAGATAGCACAAGATTACTGTATTCGGCCACGAAAATAGTAAGAATTCGCAGACCAAGCTAATGAATCGCCGGAACATCAAAATCGTCATTTCGAAACAGATAAAAGCGCCGACCATTCCATTAAGGAATACAAGAGTACTGTGTAGTACGCTGTATATTTCAGCGCTGGGTTTAATTTCGCGAATTTCGTGAACGCGTCCCGACGCAAAAAACAAACAACGTCGAATAATTCATACCGAATAATAACCGATAATTCGTAATTCACCGACGCAGCGTTGGCTGGGACAGCGCGCGAAAATTAACCGCTCGCGAAATTGTCCCGTACGAGTCTGAATTCGCGAAAATATCTGTACGCGAAGAAATATGGCGTAACAGCAGTAGCCTCTTCAGACGTCCTCCACTTCGTGGTGTTGGAACAGTGTGGAGAGGCCGTGCGTAGTTGTAGAGCAGACAAACAGCGCCGCCCTTACTGCCGGATGAAAGCCGCCAGTCTGGCAGCAGATCCAACTTAACCTGCGTGCGAAAAATAGATAACACATAGAACACTCGCTATGCATAGCCAGGCGATAATAACCATACTGATAGCGCGTGTATGTAGATACGGCAGGTACTGAATAACGCGTGTATGTAGATACCGTACTGATACGCGGTGTATGTTAGATACCGTACTGATACGCCGTGTAATGTAGATACCGTACTGATGATCGCGTGTACGTAGAGTACCGGTACCTGACAGCGCGTGTACAGTAGATACGGCGTAAGCTGATAACGCGTGTATGTAGAATACGGAGACTGATACGCAGTGTACGTAGATACCTGTACTGATACGCGTGTATGTAGATACGCGTACTGACACGCGTGTACGTAAGATTACGCGTACTGACACGGCGTGTATGTTAGATTAACGCGTACTGATACGCGTCGTACGTAGATATCCCGTTACTGATACGTGTGTATGTAGATACCTGTACTGATACGCGTGTACGTAGATACGCGTACTATACGTCGTGTATGTAGATACCGGAGCCGAGGTACTGAACAGCGTGATACGTAGATACGGGTACTGAACGCCAGTGTATGTAGATACCCGGGTACTGATGCAGCGCAGGTGGTATATGTCAGAGTACCCGAGGGAGGGGGGCGGGGTACGTGAATACGCGTGTATGTAGATACGGGTACGCTGCGAGTGGAGCGCGTGTAGTAGAGAGGCCCGTACTGATCAGCGCGTGTATGTAGATACCCACAGTGGGACTGATGACCGCGGTGGTATCGTAGAGGTACGCGTACTCGGATGACGCGGTGTAAATGGGTAGATACCCGGTACTGAATACGGCGTGTATGTTAGATTACCGGCGTAGTAATCTGGGCGATAACGACGTGTCATGTAGAGGTACCGTACTGGATACGCGTGGTACCGTAGAAGTGGACGCCGGGTACTGATACGCGTGTACGTAAGATTACCGTACTGATACGCGTGTACTTAGATACCAAGTACTGATACGCGTGTATGTAAGAATACGCGTAGCTGAAATGACGCGTGTAACAGTAGATACCGTACTGATACGCGTGTATGTAGAATATCGCGTACCTGATACGCGATGTACGAGATACGCGTACTGATATCGCGTGTACGTAGAATACGCGTACATGATACGCGTGTATGTAGATACCGTAACTTTATACCGCGTGTATGTAGAATACCGTACTGATACGCGTGTATGTAGATACCCGTACTGACACGCGTGTACGTAGATACCGTACTGACACGCGTGTATGTAGATACGCGTAACTGATACAGCGTGTACGTAGAATACGTACTGAATACGGCGTGTACGGTAGATACGTAGTGATACAGCGTGTATGTAGATACCGTACTGAATACGCGTAGTATGTATATAAGATACCGTACTGATTGACGCGTGTATGTAGATCACCGTACTCGACACGCGTGTACGTAGATACCGGTAACTGATACGCGTGTACGTAGATACCGTACTGATAGCGCGTGTAATGCTAGATACCGGACTGATAACCGTGTATGTAGATACGCAGTACCTGAAAGACGCGTGTACGTAGATACGTACGATACGCGTGTATGAGATAACCGGTATGACAGCGCGCTGTACGTAGATACGCGTACTGATACGCGTGTATGTAGATACCGTACTGAGTTACGCGTAATGTAAGAATACCAGTACTGATACGCGTGTATGTAAGATACGCGTACTGATACGTGTGTATGTAATACCCGTACTGATACGCGTAGTACGTAGATACCGTACTGACACGCGTGTACGTAGATACCGTACTGATACGCGTGTACGTAGCATACCGTACTGATACGCGTTGTATCGGTAGATACCGTACTGAAT